CTTGTAATATGTCATGCTATGTCATCATAGCGTCGTATCCATGATATATTGTATAAAACAAATTTCTTAGAGAGAAAAAGAAAATAAAATGGTAGAGAACTATAGGAAAATTTTTCTATAAACTTAAAGCGAGCCGCCGGAGAAACGGATATATCGAAGACAGGATCCCAAGGGACTTGTACTTTCTTACGCAACAACAGGACCGCATGTAGTCTGATTTCGAAGGACGAGACACGCCGAGTCGGTGCTACTTCTCTCCAGGGGGTAGTTTTAAAATTCAACCCCCATACGAGAACGAAGGGGACGAAATGCATGGTACACGGTACTCATATCAATCCAAACGAGATCGATATCGAGAATGAGGAGGACTGATAGCTTTTCCTTTTTCTTTTTTCTCTTTTTTATTTTTTTCTTTTTTTTTTTCCTTTTTTTTTGTAGATTTTAGTCGCTATTCAAAACGAATTCGAACTTTTCGGGAAATAAACGAAATCTATACGATCTTATTATTATATTTAGAGTATCGTACATAGGGAGCCTACTCGTTCAACTAAAATCATAGGTTCTCAGTTAAGTTTGGATACGTGTAGCGTATATATCCGAAATGGCTGGTCACGCAGCGCTAATCGTATCGATCGAGCACTCTTAATCCATTAATGAACTTCCCAGGCTCGTTTTACCCCGGGTACCCAGGCTTTTCGCGCCATCTCTATCCGTTACAGGCTACGTACATATATACATAGAGAAGCGAGCATGAGTTTGATCTCTCTTTCTCTGTCCATATACATATATATATATATATATATATATATATATATATATATATACATATCTATGTATATATATGTGTATGTCACGTACGTTCGACGACAAAAGTTCGGGAAAAAAATTTTTCTACCGATAAGTGATCCTAATTTATCCGGGAATCTCCACTTTTTTCCCCGATGGACGACGAAAATTCAATTTCTTCTATCATTATGCGTAAGCCTGAGTTTCAATACCCTCATCTATAATGACAAATAATTTTTAATGTAACCACATATTTCTTTAACTAATTTAGTAATATTTGTTAACACGTTTATATTATCGAAACAAATTTTATTTAAATTAATACAATATTTAATTTTAAATAATTATCATTTTATTAATTCTTTAGGAATGAAAGCAACCGTACAAGCGCTATTAACAACGATGTTATACAAAACTGATATTGATAACAGCAAAATGGTAATGAAATCGCAATAAATGACAAATATTAAATATATATACTTGACAATAGATAATTTCTCTTTTTACAAAATATATATCTGAGTCACGGATATGTATCTTGATTATAGTCCCTTTAAAGAGAGAGAGAGATAAAGTAAAAATGTTCAGAAAATAGCAAGTACCTTTAGTGAAAATATTCGCTTCGTCGGTCCTATTTATGATTTTCTCTCCTTCGATTTAGTCACTCAACCCTCTTCTCTCCTACTTACTACCTTCAATTGACTGAAATCCTTTTTACTATAGCGTACAGCCAAACAAACGATAGGTCTCCGAACGGGCGCGTTCTTCCGCGACGACAAATTCCTCAAATATTTATCCGCTAGCATCTCCTCCTTAGACCCTCCGTGGCATTACTCGTTGCTCGACAACGACAACGACGAGACGACGAAAACGACAAGAAACGACTAAGAGCGACGCCCCAATGCCACTTCCGTTTCGCACACTTGCCGAGTGTGTCAATTCTGACGCCTATCGACGTATGACAAATACCCTCCTCGTCGAACCTGTCAACTTCTGACAAGCAGGACAAAAGGAAAGGAGGGATGAAAGTAAAGAGGGATGAAAATGTCTTTGGGATACCGCGACCTCCTTGCTATTTTCTGCACCTTCCTTTTTTCTATTTTTTTTTTTTTTATTCTTTTTTCTTTTTCCTTTTTTCTATCTAAAAATTTTTCTTTTTATTCAAACCTTTTAAATATTTTGTACAAGTATAATGTAAATTTGCAATTGTAAATATATATATATATATATACATGTAGACATACATATGTATGTTGATATATGTATATATATATGTATATATATATGTGTATATATATATACAACATATATTATATACACAACACCTATATGTATGTGTAAAAAAAAAAAAAATATATATATATATATATATATATCATTTAATTATGAAATATTATTTTCACTTGCCAAATCGATTAACTACCATGGTTATGAAAAAATTGTAATAATAATAAAGATTATTCCAGGTATATTGTATTTTAATGCATTTTACATGTCATAACATAAAAGTTAAATGTGTAATAATACATTTTACGACGTATATTCGAAAGCTAAAAAACAATTTATATAAATTTATCAATTTTTTCTACCTTTTGTTTCGTAAAATTAATCACTTTGGCAAATGAACGGCTGATTTCTAAGTTAAAAAAAATTACTGAATACGAAACGAATGGACAGAAAAAATATTTAAAACATATTTTACTAATTAGAAAATAAATCATCGATATTTTTCGTGGATGTCAAAGAAAAGAAAAGAAAATCATAGAAAATTGTTCCTCTTTAAAGCCGAATAACAACAAGAAGAGAGTGTTCGTGACGCTCGCGTAGGAAGCCTGCAATTAATTTATTTTTCCTAAGTCGATCGTTAATTGTTAAACTTAGATGGGCGGTCGTCGGTAATCCCACAGTTAGACGTCGTTCGGAAGAAAAGAGGAAGAGACTGGAGAGACAGGACTATGTGACTCCAAGAGAACCTGACAATGTGTAAGTGAGCAAAAGAGAGAGAGAGAGAGAGAGAGAGAGAGAGAGAAAGAGAGAGAGAGAGAAAGACAAACAGACAGACAGACAGACAGATAGATAGACAAACAGATAGATAGACAAACAGATAGATAGAGAGATAGAGAGAGAGAGAGAGAGAAAGAAAGGGAGAGAGAGAGAGAGAGAAAGAAAGGGAGAGAGAGAGAAGAAAATCGTTGCAATAATAGAAGCTAGAGACAGAAATGAAGTTAGTAGGAATGGTGAGATAGAGATAGAGATAGAGATAGAGACATAACGAAAATAGGAAAGGGGAAGAAACTTGGGTGGCATGTTCGAGGACGGCGAAGAGAAGCGAGAAGTTTCAGAGGGAATCGAACAGCAGGAAGCCAAGGCTTCACCTCGACGTGCCTCGTGGATTGGGTTTCCAAGATAATTAGAATGATGATTAGAAGACAAGCACGCCTCGTTGACCAATTCTTCGTCGATCTTTTTTCTTTTCCCCTCTCCCAAGTTCGAATCGTCTTTTACTTTTCCTCTTATTCAAATATCGACTTCCCTTTTGAGGGAAGTGAGAATTAAGACCGAAGAAAAAAGAAGGGGTCACAATGAAGCGGGAAGAAAAAGGGTACCAACGATGGAATTACAATGTAACGTGAGATAATACCGCTCGTTATTTTCGGCCCGACCACGTTCGACCTTGTTTTTTATCTTGTTTGTCTTTTTTCTTCTTTTTTTTTTTATTTTTTCTTAATCTTCATTTATATATATATATATATATATATATATATATATATATATTTTTTTTTTTCTTTGTACAGAAAGCAAAAGAGGGAGAAGATACAAAAAATGATAAAGTAGATAAGAGTCAACAAGTCTTATAAGATCTTGCGATGTATCCATGTATCTATATGTATGTGCGTATCTATGTAATACGAGAGTACTAGAAATACGAATCGAACTCTATTCTTATCTAGAACTTCGGATGAGTGGCATTACGGCACCCAGGCGACACATTTTTATGTGCCACAGTTACGATCTACGTATGATTGGTCGTTGAACTCTGTCCCCGTGAGATCACTTTGCTGGAAATGTCCCTGCCTACGTAAAAAAAAAAAAATTGTGTCCGACGTGTATGCCATTCTGGTTATTCTCGTACGCTAACTTATTTTATCTCGCGACAAAATTTTCATCACATGTCGAAGTTGGTTGGAAACAAGGTCGAAGTTGGTTGGTTCTAGACTACACTCGAATGCAGATCTCTTCTTTACCGAGCGTTTTTTATTCCTCTCTGTCTCTCTCTCTCTCTCTTTCTCTCTCTTCTCTTTCTCTCTCTTTCTCTTTCTCTCTCTCTCTCTCTTGTAGGTTATATTTCTTGATTCTCATTGCAACTTGGCTTTGCTTCGCTTGGTTTGACTTGGCTTAGCTCTATTCGCGTTGAGGGACATGTGAATATTTGATCGGTCCTTCAACCTCCACCTCCTTCGCACAACCTCCTCCCACAACCTCCGACTCTCATCCAACCCTCGGTCCCAGCTGCGGTGAATTATTTAACGTCCCCAGGGACACCGCTTACCTATGCGCACCGATGTGTCAGTCTCGAGATTTCACCATTCTTTCTTTGAATTTTACGGCATCACGCTAAGATAATATGGATTTTTATGACAACATATAGATTTATTTATATATAATATATATATATATGTATGTATATATGTATATGTAATATATATATGTACATATGTATTTATAATATATATATGTATATATAATATATATATATGTATGTATATATGTATATGTAATATATATATGTATATATGTATATATGCATATATATATATATGTATGTATGTTTATATGTATGTATGTTTATATGTATGTATGTATATATATATATGTAATTCATATATATATATATATGTATATATGTATATATAATTTATGTATATATATGTATGTATATATATATATGTATATTTATATATATATATATATATATGTATGTATATTTATATATATACATATATGTGTGTGTAAAGTGTCATATAAAAAAACTTTAATTAAATAAATTTAACTAAGATTGACATTTATTATAAAAATATTAAAAAATTGGATATTTCTTTGTCTTATATTATGTACCTTGTTATCAATATTATCTAGCATATTTTTATCTGTTATCTAGAAATCTATCGAGATTAAGTTCTCGAGTCAAATTTTATCTTGATTCTAATTTCCCGCCTCCTCAAGTGCATTCTGGGAATATGTCACGCACAAACACTTTTAAGAATATATAAGTAGATATCAAGTTAATAATATAATCGAAAATTTACTTCTGTTATATTAAGTCGGTGTAGATAATGCAACATAACGTTTTATGATAATACAGCAGTGAACGTTCAATGCGTTAATATAACAATGGCGGAAGGATCGGAGGTATGTTATTTCGATTTACGTGTTGTACATGATCATTTTGACAAAGCTCTTGTGCAGGATGATGATGTTGATATTAAAGCATATTTGGATGCCTACAATGAATTATACAAGTAAGAATTACTATGTATTTACATTATTTTATTCGCTCTTTTTAACAAGTATAACATAACCTAAACGTATGTAAATTTATATTTGTAGGTTTTTCCAACTTATGGGCAGTGTATTCAGTTTTGTTTCTTCTGATTTGAAACAAAAGATCGACATTCTTGCTGACTTATTAAGTAAAAATGATCGAAATTATATGACCATCAAGACCATGATCGAGTATGAAAAAGAAAACAAACTTTTAGAGAAAGCAGATTATGTTAATGGAGCACGTACTTTGTTGCGACTCCACAGGGGCTTAGGTATTATATTATAATAATTAGGAGATATCTATTGTGATATGTGTTATACTTCTGTCTGACATCTATTCATTTATGTCTTGTGCTTTTAGATTTTATAAGAGAATTTTTACACCAACTAGGAGAGATAAGTGACACCGATAAAACATCTACTTGCTGCCAAGATGCATATAATAAAACCTTAGCAAAACATCATCCATGGGTAATACGTAAAGCTGCAGTAGTAGCAATGTATACTATGCCTACTAGAGAATTATTATTTAAAAAGGTATAAAAAAGATACATTATGTAATTTATTTTATTATTATATTTTTATATTTGATGATACATTTAAAAATTTCAATCAACAATGCACAGGTTTGCGGTGTGAATGTACAACGAAATGTAGATATTCTACCAAAAATGCTTGAAGTTACTGTCGATGTACTCAATCGTACTCATACTTTATTTGAATTGCATCAGCTGCACACCTTGCCATGAAAAGGAAAGTATTGTGATTAATTGAAAGTCTATACGTCAGCTTTCACCAACTTTGGTTGAATTCGCAAAGTATAAATGTTTGTGAAACGCAATCAATGATAATTGCGTTATTATACAGGGTGTTTCAGTAGCTTTGTCACAAATAATTATCAGGATAACTATTGGTGATACAAGGATAATTCTTGTTTAATTTATAAATTTTATTTTATGATATGAGTATCTGTGTAACAGATTCTCAGAAATGGCCTTACAACTATTGATTTTGATAATCAATTAACATCCTACTTATCTAAAATTATTGAACAAACAAGTTAACATTAATACTTTATAATAGAGTTATTGAATCACCTTGGTAAACAACATTACAGATCACTATATACAAGCACGCTCGTTTTGTAATATTTACGTTATATAACAATTTATAATTATATTAACTGAATACGTACAAATAGACGTTAGCATGCGAACGTCTTTCTCAGCCATAGCATATCATATACCGAAAAAATAAAACATTCCTTTCATGCATTTTGATAAAGAACACGAATTAATTTTCCTTTGAGTAACTACGTCATATATTATATTTATAAAATTAATGAACGTTTATACAATAATAATCTTTATGGGAAAATGTACATGGTAAATGAATCATATTGCATTGTCTTTCATTTATAAATGCTTCCAGAAATTATTTACAATGTCCTTATTTAAATCGAGACAATAAATAATATTGCAACTAGACGTATAGGTTATGTGACCAGATTTTTTGTTAATACTCGAGAGTATAATTGGAAGTTACATTAACCATATGAGAGGAAGCATCGTCTATCAGCATACCTACGAAAGAAATAAATTGACATAAGGAAGAAAAAAAAGAATTATTGGAGAATAAATACAATGATTAAATATGTAAAACTAAAGAAATTATTATTATTCTTTGGCAGACCTATGAGAGAAATAAATGAATGTAAGAAAAAAAAATCAATATTATTATGAAACAGTCTTTTTACCGGCAACAGAAGCTGTGAGAAAACAAACAGCACTGCCAGAGATAAATGCTCTTATTGTAACAGCAGTGATCTCTTTTTTCTTATTTGGTGCTAAATTGCTTAAAGAACCAATCATGATACCGATGCATGCAGGATTAGAAAATCCACAAAGGGCATACGTGGCAATGGCTTCAGATCTAACAGAAAGTCTATTCTGTTTTTTATATATTCCAAGTTCTTTATAAGCGATGAATTCATTAATGACAGTCTTTATTCCTATCAAGTATCCAACATCTTCGCATTCATTCCACGGTACACCCATGATCCAACTCAATGGCATAAAAATTTTTGATAAGAAATACTAAAAAGTAAAATACGCTTAATGTTCCTTTTGAATGATACAAGACAGTACTTAAACAAAAGAATTAAAACAAATAATCAAAAAGAATATTTTCTCATTACCTGAAAATTCCAATCGTTAAATCCCAAAAGTTGACCGAACCAAAAGAGTAAACCATTGATAAAGGCAACAAATGATATAAAAGCTATAATATTAGCTATTATACCAAGTATTACAGGAATTGCTGCCAGTGCTCCATTACTCGCAGCATCCAAAATTCCAGAATCATTTCTGAAAATTATTTCTTTTTTATATGAATGTAAAATCGTTGAAATGATATAAATGTATGTGTATATATATGTGTGTGTATGTGTGTGTGTGTGTGTATGTACATCAATTTAAATCTTACGATTTCTCCAATTGAATGTTGTCCGAATTGGTTTGACTTTCCTCTGTCTCAGGATAAAATAATTTAGAATAACAAAGGGCAGCCGGGGCTGACATTACTGATGCTATCAGCAAATGTGCTGGATCGGCACCAAATTTGACATATGCAGCAAAAACACTACCTACGAGAAATCAAAGAAATCTATTATATTTATTCTTTAGAAAGGAAGATGATTTTCATTTCTTCCTTTTTTTCTTTTATTTCACATTCGATATACCTGAAACCGAGGCAAACCCAGAACACATAACGGCATGCATTTCGGAAGATGTCAGTTTACTGATATATGGTTTTATCAATAAAAGAGATTCGGTCTGAGGGAAAAGAAAAAGAACAACATCAACGTAACATTTTTCATGATATTTCAATAAAAGATATTACCATTCCAATGAACGTATTTGATACACTATTCAACGATTCGCATATTGTAGTTCCCATGATACATTGCAAACCCCATCCAAATTTCATAACCACCCACTGCATAACTCCAATATAATATAATATTTGAATAAAACAGCTAAAGAAGAAAATAACTGGAATGACCTTAAAGAAAAATCAAATATCAATGATATAACAACAAAGAACATCATCGTATATGAAGATTCAAATAAATATAAAAATGTACAATGAAAACAAACCGAAAAAGCGAAAATTCCTTTTTGAACAAGTTCCTCTGAGAAGATAAATTCATCGCCTTCTTTCGCGTAATCCAAAAAGGTCGTTATTTTGTTTGAAATGCAATCAAAAATATTTCGGCCGACGGACCAACGTAGGGTAAATAAACCAAATAAAAATTGCATTATTACACCACACAAAACTGGTCTCCAATTGATCTATGTCAATGAAAATGGACATTTATATAAATAAATTTTTATCAAAAAGAAGTTGGAGGATTTCGATTCGAAATGATTTATTTACGTGAGCCGGATGTTTTGAAAATATCCATCCTAGAAGCAATAGGATTATGACACCAAGACCACTGATCAATCTACTCGTCGAATGTAAGGTATCGATAATGAGAAAGGCAACGATGGCCGTGAGTATTAACAAATATATCAGTGTTACGAACATTCGAAATCCATATCTGCGATAGATCGAATTATTTCAATCGAATAATTTTGTTTTCTTTATCTTAACAGGTTCGTTACCAATGTTTTATATATATATATATATATATATATATATATATATATATATTCTAATTTTATTTTGAAAGTTAAACGTTATTCTATAAGATATATATGATGAATTGACAAAAAAAAGCAAAGCGCGGTCTGAGGTGAATGTTCTTTGCTCTACCGTGGTAACGAACGTGTTTCAATAAAAAATAATAAATATATTATTAAAGATTATTATATTACCTTGTTTTTTTTAGCCTTTCAATAGATCTTCCAACCGGTCGAAAGAAACGACAAATAGATTTTGCAAAATATCGCTTAATTACACAGTAATAAAATAATCCGGTATACGTGAAACCCAAGAGTAACAAGAGCATACCATAACCGGTACACCAGCAGAAACCGCAATCCTTTGCTAAAAGAAGATAAAAAAAAGAAAAGAAAAAACAAGAACGAAATTAAGGAAGTCACTTATCTTAATTGTTAGTTCTTCTTTTTATAGGAATGAAAATTATGTATATAAGGAGCAACGTTAACAATACGTTCAATGTCATACATTCTTTGTTTTTGACCCAATAGTTGGTGGCAAAGGCAAAGTAGATCACTACGAGACTATTTAACAGTATCAAGGCTACAAATTTGACAATTCTTCGATGCCTCGAAATGTATGCTTCCATGGCATTACGTGTCGTCACAAGTAAGTCGAATTTCTTTTTGGATACATTGTCCTCCTGTATAGGAAAGATAGACTACGAAAGAATTTTGTTTGATCTATTAAGGGCATCTTATCCCAGAGATTTAACAAAAGACTAATCTTCTAAATATTTTATGATCACGAAATTAACGACAATTCTTCAATATGTTATTAGAAATAACATAATGACAATTATCTATACGTGTGTCTATATAGGTAAATGGAATTTTACTTGTTTAATTAATTTTGTATATTTCATCGTGAAAGTTGTATCTTCGGTTTCACTCCTAAATCTTTTTACGATATATTGATTTGTTCATTGACATTTTATAACTAGTAGTATTATGCAAATTATTATTTTCAAGCGCAAGAATGAAACGTGTATTGTAAACGTCGAGATTTAACAATAGATTGTAATCGATAATAGTATATATACATACTCGACAATGCTGAGAAAACAAAAGCATGTAATATTGTATTTACCTCTTCTTTCTCGTACGATTTCTTATTCTGTGTGCCACTTTCTAGATTTTCTAACTCGTTCTATAAAATGTTTGGAATGAGTTAAGATAAATGTATTAAAAAAATTATCGTTTAAAAAGAAATTTCTGATAACACGAATGATTACATTGAGAGAGAGAGAGAGAAAGTTTTTTAACGATATAACTACCGAAGGACATATTGATAATATGACTCATAGAGAAAAAATGCACAATTACCTCTTCAAATCCTAGATTCATTATTCCAGCCATGTCTCAATCATGAAAGAGAAGAATAAATTGAAGAAAAAAATATTCTCTTAAATATTCTGTCTCAAACTAAATAATAATTTCTATTGTTTTTTCTCCTGATTGAAGAACAATACAAATTTTTATATCCGTAATACTTTACGAATCGTTTAATTTTCAGATAACAATTTGATAGCTAAAACATATAATAAATAATCATTAAAAAATATGAAAAAGAATGAACAATAAGAAAAACTTTGAGTTATATGATTACTTTTTTGCACTTTCATATCACACAGTCGCTGAAATTTCTATCGATCACTTTACTTTTCGTTTTTTCGAAGCTCACACTTTTATCTTGTTTTTTTTTTTTGCTTTTAAAATTAGATAAGAATGTGCATAATTATCATTTCTTTATATACTCGGTTTCTTATATATACTTTGTTCATTTCTTTCGTAGATCGAAATGAAAGCATAAATGTTTCGTAACGTTATACAACAACCAGCTGTAGTCGAAGATAACACTGTTGTGAGCAAAAAAAATTACTCGTGAAAGGCCAAATTTTATCATCAAAAATATTAATCTCGCTATATAATATTTAGATCGTAAAGCACAAACACAATATTTCAATACACCAATAGGTTCGCATGTATACCTCTAAAGAGATAAGTCGTTAAACCACTACTGAAGATTGAAGCCGATGATATCTCGTATAGTTCTATCTACGTTGTAAGGCTTAGACATTCATAAGAAGTGGGGATTTACACGTACCTAGTACAAACGTGCTAGTACGACATACTTACATTTTTAAAACCTATTACGTTTGATTAATTGATTTCCAATTTCGTTTTCATGTGATGCTTCGTTTGAGTAATGAAATTATAATTTCAATAAATATATTTTTCTATTCAATAATTGTACTTTTGGATAATTAAATTTTTTTTTCATAAACAAACGCATATACCGATAAATACAATTATTTATATTATTAATTGAAACTTTTTGAAGAGCAAAGTATTGAAAAATAATGTTTAGAATATACTTCCTTTCATTGTTACTTTCATCATTTTATTACAAAACTAGTCACTGTCGATGCGTAAACTTCATCGTAACCGTGGTCTGGCGTTAACATTGATGCTCACGTAACAATGGCTTTAACGTAATAAATCGTCGTTGGTAAAGTATTACAAATGCGAAGAGACATTTAAAGCGAACGATAAAAACGTGATCTATGGGGCCAGTGAAATATAAAATGAGATATTGAATTGTTAAATCAAAAATTCTACTTCGTAAAAATTCTTATCATTAATATGCGTTATGTCTATAATAATTTACAAGCAATAATATTCTATACTTAAACCAAGTAATTTTTCTTTTTTTTTCTTTTTTATAAGATAATTAAAGAAGATCGATCGTAACGACTGTAAGAATATATAAAATATTATAAAGTATTATTATAAAATATTATATATATAAAGTATTTTTATTTTTTTAGCATATAATAGTATTTACAAAAAGGTTTTAAGTATGTTAATGACAAAGGTGAAAAAACTCTATATATGTCATTGCAAAAAAACTGTATATGTCATTGCATCAAAGATACCAATGATCTTTTACATACATATTACATACATATATACATACATATATATATATATACCATATATATATATATATATATATATATATATATATATATACCATATAAGTAATTATAAAAATGCGCAAAAGTAATTCAGTTCTTTATTCTATTTATAATACATACATAATATTGTAAATTTAAAAAGAAAATTTTAATGATAACACACGTATAAATATCATTATCCGAAAAATCTTATCAGGGTTATCTTCTGATAATGTAATGATAAAAAATTGGTGCATTTTCAATGTATTAACTGTATAACTATATTTTGAAAATCTACATTGTATAAAGAGAAAAAAATCGTTAAATATAAAATATTTGGAGATGTTGTTAAATTGAATGAAATAATAACTATAAATGGCAATTGTTTTTTCTTCGAAAAATCAAAGATTTTATTGATCAAATTTATTCGCATTATTAACAAAACTTAATTTGTTGATTGTGTTTAACGATTATACTCGTTATACGAAACAAAAAATTACATTTTACTATTCGAGTTAAAATTTAGATGAATACTAAAAATTAGTCATATTTTAAAAAATATTTTAAAATATTTTAAGACAATAACAAAATAAGAAAGAAAAAATTCAGTAAGACACGCTTACAAAAAGAAATGATAAAATAGCATAGTATTATAGAATAGTATAGATTATTATAGAAAACGACGACATAATATAGAAAAGTACATTGAGTAGCATACGATTGAGTAAAATAATATCGAACAGCATAGGAGGATAACAGAAGATAGTATGAGATAGCATAGGATAGGACAGGATAAGTTGAATTGGATCGGGCTAAGTTGAACTGGACGGATCCAAGTCGGGTTGTGCCGGATCGAGCCAAGCGGATCCATTACATGATATATTATCATGTACTATGTCTTTTCCTATTCTATTCTGTATTATTTATATTCTGTCTTTTATCATCTCTTATACTATCTTTTCCTATTCTATTCTGTCCGTAATGTTCTGTCTGTGGCGTGTTTCACTTAAAACTTTTATGCTTTTGTTCTTTTTTTATTTTTTTATTTCGTTGTGTTCTGAAACATTAAAAATTTTCTTAAATTGACAAATCATTTTTATTCTTCACTGAAATTTTAATTGAAATAGGAATAGATGATATCTCTTTACGAAATGACGAATATACTTATCGTTCCACGAAACATTTTTTCACGATAATTATTCTCGTTAAACATAGATTGACAATACATAGATTAATAAGGTTAATACATACGTTAAAGCAAGTAGAGCGAAGTAAGACAAGTCGATTTTTAAAAATAATACACGTGTCTCCGTCGAAAACATTAATTTTCAATCACGACTTTTGCTTTCCTACGAACGTCTAGCAGATAAAAACTCACAAACAGCGGTCACGAAAACCAGCATTTTTGATCCTAAGATTTTGGCAGGGCTTACTTAAGACGAACGAGATTTAGAATTCGTACGAGAGGACTCATTTTCGAGAGGCGCCGAATTCTATTTATACGAGTCCAAGACGAGTTTCATGCTCTCGAAATTCTGTTTCATTTTGTGACGGAAAAACGAGGAGGTTCGTTCTGTCATTAAAAAAAAGAAAAAATATGAAGAAGAAAAAATAAATAGAGAAAGAGAGAGAGAGAAAGAGAGAGAGAAAGAGAGAGAAAGAGAGAGAGAGAGAGAGAGAGAGAGAGATTTAAAACAGTAGACATATTTTAACCACATCTGTCAATTTGACAGGTAGTAAAAAAAAAAGGAAAACACTTTTTATATTCCTTACTATTTTTAGTTTATTTAATTTTACAATAACAAAGAATTAAAAATAGTTTCCGCTTAAAAATTTTCTGATAATTATTTCGAGTGTATGTGCGAGTTAGAAACGATCAATAAGATATATTGACGATTATTGTATTATGATTTTATTATGATGTTACGTTGTTTTGTATCTATTATTATTATTATTATTATTATTACTATAATGATTTTTTGTTTTATATATTCTTTCGACTACTTCTTTGTTTTTTTTGGTTCTTTTTTTAATCCTCATTCGATTTTCGGAACTACTATTTGACTTTGTTGTCCATGAGTTAGACGGGATCAATAAGAAATACTAAGAATTATTCTAATTTTATTATCGCGTCATGTTGTTTTGTATCTTTTTTATTCTTATTATTATTATTATTTTTTTATTTATTTATTTATTCTTTCGATGATTTATTTGTTTTGTTTTGTTTCGTTTTTTTTTGTTTTAATCCTTATTCGATTTCTTTTGAATTCGGGTCGTTAAATATGAGATTGACATTGATATTTCGTTAGAATATTTCTCAGAATCATTCGACAGACTTTCCCTTTTTCATCGAAGTCAAAGAATAATTTCTTCGTATTTTTACGAATTTTGCATCATAAATCTCTCGATCTTACCTGGTTCGTTCGCAGAATTTACCTGGAATTGAGGTCCGGCGGATGAATTAAATCATTTTCAGAAAGAGAGAGTGAGAGAGAGAGTAAAAGGAAATAAAAGAGATGCGTCGTAAGAGCGAGAGAGACGAATAGCTCTTTTAAATAGCCGGGCCGTCAAGAGCATTTGCGACTGCAACGTGCAAAATATCGCATGCACTCGACATTATGCGACTCAAAGACGTATTTCCATGGGAAACCACTCCTCTCTAAAATGTTTTACACGTGTATGTATGAATGTATATAAATAAATACATATACGTATATATATTATATACGTATAAATATGTATATACACGTCTGTGAACGACATATGTGATCATCGGACAATTAATAACTTTGGATTCTTCGAATGATTTTTTTTTGTTTTAAATTAAAAATAATTTTTGTTTTTTACAGAAGCAATTCGTAACACGTAGATATATTTACGTGTGTGATTATCGTATATGATCACAAAAAAATTAATTATTTTGAATTCTTCGAATCGTTTATTTTTTGTTGTACATTGAAATTTTTTCCGTTTTTTCTTCTTTTTTTCTTTTTAAAAAAAATTCGAATTGTCTGGTTTTGTTTTACTTCGAAATAAAAAAGAAGAAGTTAGAAATGTCTTTTCTCTTTTCTTGTATGCCACACCTTTGTAAATTTACAGAACGTCGACTCTCATTCTAGTAATACAGATTAGAAATGCAGTATGCAGCTCACGTTATCACGACTGATACGCACCGATTACACGAACGTTTACACGTGTCGGATTTGTACGTCAGGAGAGAGAAAAAGAAATGTTACCTTTTGTTAATTAGATATTCTTACAAGTTCAGGATTAATTTACAAGATAAAGACTTAAAAAATTTATTTCTCTCTCTCTCTCTCTCTCTCTCTCTCTGTCTCTCTCTCTCTCTCTCTCTCTCTCCCTCTCCATCTCTCTCTCTTTCTCCCTTTCTCCCTTCCTCCCTCTAATAATTATTTTAATTATTATAATAATACGTATTTTAAAGACATAAGTCGTATATAGAAATATTATTATAATAATTATATATATATATATATTATATATGTACTTATATATTATTATTATATAATAAATCCTATATGTAAAATATCTGTTATAGGCAATAATAAAATTATTAATAATAATTATTATCAATACTAGACAATAATTAATATTAGATAGTAATTATAAATTTTTAATAGAATCTTACTCGAAATTTTGCCACGTATTTATTTTTTCGTATATACAAAAGGAAGTAGAGAAAAGGAAGTTTGAGATTTATTCTCGCGTAAGAATACTGAGTAATCGGAGGAGTTAGTCCGTCATCAAGGTTGAATCGTCTGGCTCATCTCAACGTCGTCGAAAGAACGTCGTGGATCGGGAAGACGATGCATCGCTTATCTCGTCTCGACGAGACAAGCGATATTTCCTTGGATGTCGCCTTCAAACTTTTCTCCTTTTGATCAAGGACATGATAGGTATACGATCGTATTATTCTTTTTTCTTCTTCAACCTTTAAATAAATAAAGAAAGAATGGACAAGATTTATGTAATTCTGTTGTTGCGTAGTTAATACAAAATACAGTAGACCCCATATAATACGGTTTCACATAATACGACGAAAAAGATTGAAACGTCTCGTTGTATAAGTGTTTATATACATATTTTTACAGTTTTATATACGTATAAACAACATTTCATTGTTACATCTCAAATATGTATTTTAAATTTTTTGTCATAAACTCTTGCGTCTTTTACAAAAAAAAAAAAAAAAAAGAAAATATATGTTTCCAAATGTATACATAATTTATGTTTGTATAATCGAATTCATGTACAACACGAATTCATGTATTGCTACGTGTTATATGTATATATACAGGGGTTATGGTATATTTTCTTTTTCTCTTTTGCTTCATCAATCGATAACATATTTTATTTCTCGAAAATTTGACATATAAAAATATAAATTATCCATCCATTTTCCTTCTCATTAATAATAATAGCTAATGATATAACAACAGATGTTCTACGAATTATTTTCACGAACGTGAATCGTAAAATCTTTAATTTTCCTTAACGTGATTATAGTTAGCCGCAACATTGGAAGATCTACATTCTATGTCCTTGATAATTTTGTACGTGACATTTTCTATTTTCCACTTCTACGTAGTAAAAGGTTGGCTAGACAGACGGTGGCAGCCAGCTTTAGGTTTCTGGAACGATGCCAGACACGTTGAAGATAGCGAAATACGAGATACACCAGACGTTTCGTTACGTCTGGTTGAAAGAATCGTCGATTTGTCAAGATCTTTGTCAAATCGACTGGATCAAACGATTTTTTCTTTTTCTTCTTTGCCTGCGTGTGTTCTTTTTCCTTTTTCTTTTTTTTCTTTTTTTTTATTTTTTTTTTTGTTTTTCTTTGACTACTTCGTTCATTTCTCACGAAAGAAAAAAGAAGAACCGAGCACGATGATTTTTTTCTTTACAAAGTTAGACGCTGATAAATTCTAGAGGATGAATTCGAGTCGTGTGAAGTTTGCTGCCTCACGTGGAAATAATAAACCGACGGTCCTAACTCATCTAGTCTGATCTGGGTACACCAAGGTTCTGGACACACGAGAATGCAAAAGAAAATTGAGTACCAAAGTATCTTCCATCTTCTCATTCTTCATCTTCTGCGAATGCGCACAATGTGACGAAATGTGTCTTTTTGCGTTTCCGCCTTCATCTCTCCTTCCTGCGTTTCATTTCATCCAGTTATTCGCAGTATCAGATTCGATCTCTTCTTCCTGCTGATAAAAACGGACTCTTCTTCAGATTTTTTTCTAAGATCTTGATACATACATTTGATTACAAAAATTTTATCACGAAGGAAAAGTGCTATTTGTATCTGGGTTGTGTCAGGTGATCAACATGTGATATACGAGTAAAAAAAAATTTATCTTCGTTTTAAATCCCAAAACAAAATGTTGATTGTAAAAGTATATGAAGTGATGATTAATTATTATTTTAATTATGAAAGCTATAATTGAGTCAACATCACGAATAACAGTTTATGTTAAGTTTTGATCAAAATTAAACAGAATTTACAGTGAAATATTCTTCTACGGTTCTTTTCGATCATTTTATACACTATACACAGATTGTAGATATTTCATCAGAAGATGATGTAACATTGAATATAAAAAACACGTTAGATAGAAAATAAATCTAAAATATAATTTAAAATTTTATCTTTTTATCTTATTTAATATTGAAATAAAATATATCATTGAGGTCTCTATCTATTCTATTGTCTTGTTTCAATTAAATAATTATGAAGATATTCATTAAAACTTATCGAATATAGTGTAACTTAAAAATTGTTTTTCTTCAAAAATCTTTTAAACATGCTTTAAACCAGAGTTTCTCAATCTTTTTGTTTATAACAATATCGCGGTTGAAATTTTTATATTAAACAATTTTTAAAAATCTGGTAGACCAAAATCATTGTATATTTTACACTTTAAACATTGTGCAAGAACTTTCTCTTAGAAATTAATCATTTTTCCTCAAATTTGCGATCCTAAGGTTCTTAAGGTTTTGACCTAAGTTTTGCGATCCATTTTGCGATCCATTAAAAATTTAACGCATCGCTTATAGGTAGAGAAACTCTTCTTCTTTATTTCTCTTTTAGAGAAATTCAAAAATTTTCATTCAATGATAGATATTTCCTACAATATCTACGAAATGTGTGTAATAAATAAAAAATAATATTCATTTTTTATCTTATAATACGTAAAATCAATGTATGAACGAAGTATTACGAAGAATTACGAAATAATTATAGATTAAACCGAACGACTATCGGATAATGTGTAATCGTAGGAAACCGTAGATAAACGTGAGCGTTCGTATACGTGGTTCCGTTGTGGCTCCTTCCTCTTCATCTCTCATTTCTATTGGCTCTCGTTACGTTGGAATGTCGAACACGAGCGAGCTTTATTTTATATATGTATGTATGTATTGTATGGTATATATATGTCATAGCACGCGACACCACTTTCAAACGGACCGATTGGATTCCAACTTCTTTTTTCTATCTCCCTTTTCGATCCACTCCCTTCAAATCCTCGATGTTACAACTAACATTTGCTAATTTCTAACTGATATGAATCTCTTTCTTTTTTTCTAAGTTTTTCATTTTTGTTTTTATATTGTATTTATATCAGAATTCTTATATGATTTTAAACAATTTTAAACGATCAAATTCTATTGATCATTATAAATGAATTTTTCAAATAAAAGTTGTTACGTTCGGAAAGGGCGCAGGAGGGGAGGGGAAAGGTGGAATGTAATGTTTATCGGAGTTATTTTCTCGAGATATAGGAAGTTATAATAATTTTTTTTTTTTTTTTTTTTTTTTTTTTTTTAATAGAAATCGATTTTTTAAATTTAACAAAAGTTATAAAGAATATCAATAATCCAACGAATACCTATAATGTATCTTTTCATTGATATTTCATCGAGTCATGGCGATAATAGTTATATTACGATACAGCTAGGCACTTGCGATTTTTGATTTGACATTGAGATTGTGATTGTGGTTATGGTTGTAGATGTGATTGCGATTATGATTATGATAGTGACTGTACCATATCGTAATTATTATCGTCATAACTCGATGAAATATTGATAAAAAAAAGTACATTGTAGATACTCGTTCAATTCATGCTAATGTTTTTTATAATTTTTGTCAAAAATGAGACATCGATTAGCATTCAAAAAAAAATATGTTCCGTACCTTAATTACTGCACCCATTACGAAATAGATGCAATGATTATTACATTTGTTCCTCGAAGCTTAACATTTTTTATTTGAAATATTTGTTTATAAAATCAATGGTATTTATGTAGATGTCATAGATATATGATATATAAGTATAAACATAGCAAAAAAATATAAATATAATGTATTACGACAATAAAACTATGATCATGAAAGAGAAAATCGTAAATAATTAATTTATATATATATATATATATATATATATATATATATATATAAATTAGATATTAAAAATATGATGTCAATCTATAAAGAAAAAATGCAATTTTTTCATTGTATTTATTCATAAAATAAAAAAACTTCTGAATTTTACATAGAATTCTAGGAATTCAACAAAAATTCAAAATCATATATATATAATTATAAACGTAAATAAATAAAATAAAAAAATTGTATTTAATATAGTTTTTGACGTCAAGGGTTCACACAGTTTCATATATTCTTTTTTTTCAAAAGTTTCCTTCCATAAAAAATGGCGAAAGGACAACCACTTCTCTCTCTTTCTCTCTCTCCTCTCTCTTTCTTTTTTTCTCACACATACACACACACGCACAGGCGCTCAAACGTACGAAATCATAATAATAAATTGATGAAAAGATGGAACGAGAAAGAATAAAATCGAAAATCGTAACAAGAGTCAGTGCGGAGATGTCGAATAAAAAAGTAGTTCGCGCGATTAGAATCGATCGAATCGAGATGCAAATTAAAACTTTCGAAAACGATTTGAATCGAAACAAGCGATAAAAAGAACGAAAACGAGGAGACGTAGAAGAAGAAAAATAAGATAGGAGAGAGAAGACCGAAGAATAATATAAAAAAGAGATTGCGTATCGCGTTGAGAAGGAACGTCGATCGGTTTTCGAGAGAGGAGACGATAAGAGAGAAAAAAGAGAGGAGATACAGAAAGAGAGAGATAGGGAGAGATAGAGAGAGAGAGAGAGAGAGAGAGAGAGAGAGAGAGAGAGAGAGAAAAGAAAAAAGAAAGAAAGAACAAAAAAAATAAAGAGACGAATAAATAAAAAAAAAAAACAACAAAAGAAACGATCGGATCGCGTCTATGCGTGGGTGCGCGACTTCGATTGCGCAATCCGTTCGAAATTCAAATCCCGATTCCAAGAAGCGATCGGCCTGGACTCTGCTAAAAGGAAAGAGAGATATAGAGAGAGAGAGAGAAAGAGAGAAAGAGAGACAGACAGACTGAGAGAGGCTCCTGCCGGATTCCAAGGAGGCCTTATCGCGATTGTCGTCTGCTTCGAACGACGTAGGAGGGTGGACGACTCCAATGCAAATTGCACCATTTCCATTCTTTTTTCTTTTTCCTCTCGTCTTTCCGTCTCTCTTTACGCCTCCCTTCGAGCTCAGATCGTTTCTTTTTTTTTCATCTCTCTCTATCTCTCTCTTTCTCTTTTCCTTCCTTTACAATTCCGATCGAAAGGTTTGAGCGATACACGTGTGGGCGGTTTTGAGAGAAGGTGTTCAAGTTTAGGCGATTTTTCTGACATCAGAGATTTCCATCGACGCTTTAAAGGATCACCTGCGAGAGTACGTACGAACAAGAGTGAGAGAGAGAGAGAGAGAGAAAGAGAAAGAGAGTGAGAGAGAGAGAGAGAAAGAGAGAGAGAGAGAGAGAGAGAGAGAGAGAGAGAGAGAGAGAGAGAAAGAAAAACTTTCTCCCCGACGATGATCGGTCGGTACTCGTTGACGAGTGGGAGAAAAAAAAGGAGGGGAGGATCTCCGTGAGGACCTCCACGAAGGTCCATCGAGAAGGCTCCCCGGCAAGGACGACGAACGATGACTGTTACGAGTGCAAACAACAATTTGATGCCGCGCCGAGACGGGCCCCGTGCGTTATTTATTTTGGTACGTCTAGACGCCAGATTGTCTGTCCGTACGTCCGACTCTCGCGACGGAGGATTCGGAGCTGACGTCAGCAGCCGTTGCACCGCGCGGACATTCGGCGGACTCGCTTGGGATCAAATTGCATTCCCTCCCCTCTCCCCTTTTCCTTCTACTTCTCTCTCTCTCTCTTTCTTTCTCTCTTTCTCTCTCTGTTTCGTTCCTGTCTTTCCATCTCCTTCCGTCTCTTTATCCCTTCCTTCCTTTTTCCTTTCTTTGTCCCTTTCTTTACTCCTCCCATACTCCTCACGTTCTTTTCTATCTCCCTCTTTCTTCCCCCCCCCTCTTCCTCCTCTCTTTCTTTCTTTCTCTTTCTCTTTGTCTCTCATCTCAACCATACGCATCCTCCGTGTTGCGCGTGCGACGCATCCAGCGCAACGGGATGCACTTCGAGCACACACGTGCCCATTGGCGCCGCCTTTCCTTGCGAATCCTCGATTCCTTACGATCCTCTCTATTACTTACACGTGTAACGAAAGCATTTTATTCTTTCTTTCGTTCGAACGGAAAGGAGGGGAGGAAAGGAAGTTCTCGATGATAATATAGGATAATTTTATCATTGAGAAATTCCCATATATAATTAGAATTTAAATTCATATATAAATTTCGTTTAATCAGACCGATAATTTGTATAGATCTATTCGTTCTACGCCTATGCCGATAGCTACCGATAACTCTGACTAACTCGACGTGACAAAAGGGTGGTGTATGCGTCATTTCGTTCCTGATCGACTTGTTTACCACCTCACGAATTCGACCCTGACATGCTCGGCGAATAATTTTTTTTTCTCTTCTTCTGGTATTAGAGATATTTGTTGCTTCATCGATACGATCCTTTGAATGTGAAACGGAAGAAGAATGGACGTTAGTATAAGAAGAAAAATAAGAAGAAGATGAAAAAGGAGAAGAAGAAAAACAAAGAAGAAGAAGAGGAAGAAGTAGAAAAAGAATATAACGATGATGATGAGTAGGAACGAAAGAAAAACGTCAAGAAAAGATTCGAGACGCGGTACGCCGCACTTCCGGCATATCCAGACAAGAAAGAGAGATAGAGAAAGAGAAAAAGAGAGAGAAAGAGAGATAGAGAGAGAGAACTACCTCGAGAGGATTTATTTTAACCGTTCGGACCTTCGAAAGGCTAGTATTAGCCGACCGTTAGGTAGCCGGCCAGACGGTGCGGACCACTTTTGGAGGACCGAATTCTTTAACCTAATTTTCGCGTTTTATGGCGTCACGCTAATTTAACGTCCAGCTAGTATCCTAAAAATATATTTCTCCTACCGTTCGTTCGTTCCTATGTTCGTTCTTATATTTATTTCCTTCTCTACAAATTGCAACGCATGAATGTGTGCGAGAAGAATGTTATTTAAATTATGACTGACACCTGTGGAAGGGTGGGTTGAGTAAAGGGCAAAGGGTGGATGGGGAAGTAGAGTCCAAAATATTTACATACCTTTCAAGAAGTTTCTTGGTAATCGAACGTCGCGAAAGAAGAGAAAAAAAGACGACATAATCCTGATAATGATATCATTCGTTCTCTAAGGATTAGAATTTAAAGGACGACTATTATTCTATATAACATCGATAATGAAATAAATTCTCAGTCAATTAAAATCCTTTTTACGTATTTATAAAATGTGATTAGAACGCATTAATAGAAGGATTTAGATCTGAACAAAAAAAAAATGAAACAAAAAGAAAGTAAAAGAAAAAAGAGAAATCTGTTGATTAAGAATATTAATTAACGATAGATGTTTATTCTCCAAACGAGATTAGATTTTGACTATAGAAATAAATTGAGGAAATTAATTAATACCAAAATAGATTAGAAAAGAATTTCGTTCTTAATGGGAACAAGTTGATTTATCCGAATCTCCACCCCATTTTTCTTCTTCTTCTTCTTCTTCTTCTTCTTCCTCTTCTTCCTCCTCTTCTTCTTCTTTTAGGACCCACTTCGTTTCTCGGACGGGCGCGCGCCGCCGTGCGCGCATGGCATTTTCACGCGCGCACGCGGAGACTGCATTTATTAAAAGCGATACATTATGATTCAAAGATTATATCTTTCGATTCGTCTAGACAAAGCGGAGAGGGGGACACCTTATAAAATCGTACGTCGGCCGCCCCTGAAATCATTGTACGAACGCCAACGCGACTTTTCGCTTCTCGCTAATTTTTTTTCTTTTCGTTTTATGTTTATCTACCCCCTTTCTAAATAATCGACATTACGATAAGGTAATAGAAAATAAGAAAGAAAGAAAGAGAAAAGAAAATCCAACGATTGATATAGAATTTGAACGATATTCAAAGATTCGAAACGTGAAGTTCGAGTGAAATCGAGAAACTTGAAAGTAAACAGAATCGAAGTGACTGGTCCACTCGATTTCGAAGGAAAAAAAAAAGGAAGAAAGAAAAAAGAAAGAGGTAAAGAGAAAGAAGTGGGAGAAAGATTTTGGAGGAGGAGGAAGAAGAAGAAGAAGAAGAAGAAGAAGAAGAAAAAGGAGTAGAAGAAAAAGGAGAAGAAGAAGAAGAAAGAGAAGAAGAAGAGGAAGAAGAAGAAGAAGGAGAAGGAGAAGAAGAAGGAGAAGAGGAAGAGACACACGTTCGAAAGGGTCTCTCCTCTACGTAGAAAACACCGGGTGGAGGCGAGAAGACGAGAGGGAGAGAAACCTCGGCGAAAGGGAGGGGAGAAAGAGTAGCAGAAAGACAGAGAGATAGAAAGAGAAGAAAGAGACAGAAGGAGAAAGAGAAAGAGAGAGAGAGAGAGAGAGAGAGAAAGAGAGAAGAGGAGGAGGAGGAGGAGGAGGAGTCATCGTAGTAACACCGGCACCGTCTCCTCTCTCGCGGCTTCGTGCTTGTCTCGGAATTAGTGAGTAGACAGAATTATGTCCGTGAGGAAGGCGGCACTACGTCTCAGTCGAGACCTACTGCTCGGCCGGTGCACACGCACATAAAGAGAGAGAGAGAGAGAGAGAGAGAGAGGGAGAAGAAGTAGAAAAAGATAAAGAGAGAGAAAGAAAGAGAAAAAGATAAATAATAGATAAAGATAGAAAAAAGAAGCTAGATAAACTCTTTGGCACTCTTCCCTAACTCGCAGGAATATCACGGTTACCTTTTCTCTCGCGACTTAGACTAGTCCGAGAAGTTCGAGACGAATGAACTAGAAAGAGTGAAAGAGAAGCAACGCGACTACATTTTGCCTGGTGGACCACAATCGTACGACATCAGTTTTGGTAACGCTCGCATTGGAGACCGAGTGTTCCTCTTTCACGTGGTGCTTCCAAAGTTCTCGGTACGCGCTCGAATGAACGCGCAAGCGCGCATACTTTCGATCGAGATCAAATAAGAGTACTCTTCTAAAAGTAATAAAAGAGAAAGAAAGAAGAGGGTAGAGATAGAGATAGACATAGAGATAGAGATAGAGATAGAGAGAGAGAAAGAGAGAAAGAGATAGAGAAAGAGAGAGAGAGAGAGAGTTATATATAGAAAGAGAATGCTCTTCGAATCATTGCTGAGTTGACGAGATAGGTACATTCTGTCTATGTAATTTGAGATTCGAAATAAACGACGAGATTCGGTAAAGATTTGTAAAAGATGAGGTTGAGGTGGTCAATCGTTTTGTTGCTGGTGATGAACATCGTTGTTTGTGGTTGGTCTCATCAGCATCAACATCATCATCGTCGTCGTCATACACCGAATAGTAGTAGTAGTAGTAGTAGTAGTAGTAGTAGTAGTAGTAATAGTAGTAGTAGCAGTAGTAATAGCAATAGCAGTAGCAGTAGTAGCAGTAGTAGTAGTAGTAGTAGTAGCAGCAGCAGTAGCAGTAATAGGGAACATCTTCTCGATGAAACTATAAACAATTTTGAAAGGAACGATGATGATGTACCAATGAGTATAAGTGAAAAGACAAGGAAAAGTTTGAAGTTAGAAGAGGGAAAAGTTTCGGTACCGTTCAGCGCGCGTAGGCTTGAGAAGATGTTGGAAAAGGCCATAGTGAAGATAATCACGGGTGATCTTAGTACGGCCGATATGATATTGCTGAAAAGTTTGAATTACAGTTTGGATGAGATCCTCGCGATTCGCGAATACGAGCTTGGTAAGAAGAAGGAAGAGGAGAGAAGACGGGAGGAGAGGATCAAGTTAGAAAGGGAAAGGCACAGATCTAAAGGAAAACATTTCGAGGACGGAAAGAATTCAATGGAATTCGATTTGTCTAAATACGAAAAGAAGAAAAGAGAAAAGATCCAAGAGAAATCGACGTACGACGAGGATTTCGATTTCGATGCTTACAATCGACAGGCCGTGATGGATTACGAGAATCTAGCCTCGAAAATGGAACTCCAACAGACTTGGTCTGATCCTAGCATATCTGATTACGATGATAGTGCGAAAGAATTGAAGGAGAAACGTCCGATGGACAAAAACAATAATAACAACAAAAACAATGATGACAACGACAACGACGATGGGAATTCGTCATCTGAAAATTTCCATCGTAATTTCGACAAGGCTATGGAACCGCACGTGATATTTAAGATACGTTACGATGATTCCGAATTCGATTCATCAAGTTCCGATGAAAAGTCGAGGATACCAAGGAAACAGATGGATCGTGGCTTTCCGAGAGTTCCGAAATATCGTGGATCGTCTTATTCGAAACAAAATTCATTAACAAACACTGGCAATTCCTTTCACAGTTCGACCATCGTCACTTCTTCTTCTTCTCCTTATTCCTTTACTTCTTCGTCTTCATCATCATCGTCATCATCATCTTCACCATCCTCAATTCCTGTAGTTTATCGATTGGACGATCTTAAACTAGCTAAATTGGATTACTTGGGCAAACCAAATCGTTTTGATCCAACTAATCCTGTGGAAATTCGAGAAACTAATACAAAAAATTTTATTGACGTGAAAAATGTTACTTTGTCGGAAGGATCTCGTGTTATCGTTGATAGCAATGTCACCAACGAACTGGAATCGAGAAATGAAAATTCAACGAACAGAACGAACGACGGGGATACCTCGAAATTATCGGTCAAACGTATCAGCGAATACGAAGGATTGGAGTGGGTCGAAGACGACGTTTATCGAGTGATACCATCTCTAGCGGATTCTCTCGCGGATTACGAAAACGTAGAAGACGAAAACGAGCCATTGGAATACGAGGACGAAGCTCTTCCAAATTATGAACAAAATTCTACGAGCTTCGAGGAAAATGAGAACGACACTGCCGAATATCAAAACGACACTCCCGAATCGGTAAAACTCTTCATGGCTAACACCAATTTAACATCGATGGACAATCAATCCTTTTCGTCCTATCAGGAATTGGCTCTGGCTCATCGACGAGAGTAAGTTATCATAATCATTCTTTTTTTCATTTTCATTCTTTTTGCGTATGAAAACGACAACAACCAATAATTTCTTTATTTTCACTTATCGATAATAATATTATAAAATTATTGATAATAATGTTATCAATTATTATAAATGATTTTATATTAACAATGATCATTTTCTCATAATAATTTCTAGATATAGATATTTATCTTTTTCGTACGCAAATCGATAGGATTCATTCGATGTAATAATTCTCGATTCATCACGTGCTACGCTTTGCGATGTTGCGTGCGCAACATTGATATTCACAAATTGTGCTTTTTCGTCTTTTAGAGGAAACCTAACATCAACCTTCGACAGGTAAGCCTCAGTTGAGGCTAAAATATCAGCCGCGTTGGTAAGGGATATCGTGTGCCATGTTACATCTTTTTCTTTATTTCTTTTTTTCTTCTCTCTCCTCTTCTCTCTTTCTTTTTATCCCTCTTATTTTTCATCGTTCTCTTCACTTTATTCTTTTTCATTTTTTTTTTTTCAAGTGTGTTATAATTCTATGCTTTCTTTGCTAAATCGAATGATTTTCTAACTAAATTTATTATACGTTATTTCAAACTAGCGTGAATTTTTTAATCTAAAAGTTATGGTGACAAGGGATATCTTTTAAAAGAAACAAAAATTAACCAAGCTTGTAACTTTGACGACATGAAACATTCAACTTTCGTTGAGTAACTCTGACATTTATTTCGAACATTTTCGATGCAACTACCAACCCGCGCACGCTTGCTAGACTTTTACTGCGCACGATATTTATTCGCGCACGTGCGCGAAACGCCGCGATAGATCGTTAAAACGACGAATCGGAAGGCACGCGTGAGCGCCCGCGCGCTATCGAATCCGCGGGACGTTTAGAGTAGAAGAAGAAGACGACAACAACGACGACGACGTTCTCCTCGAAACGTTGCCCCCGTCATGTAAAAATATCTCGATGGAACATAAAAAACAAAAAAACTCATGGAAAAAATAGGAACCATCACGTTTCCTTCTAGATCTTTTTCTCTTTGCTTTGCGTTCTCTTAATTTAAGTAAAATTAGAAAAGAAAGAGAGAGAGAAAGAGAGAGAGAGAGAGAGAGAGAGAGATAGAGAATGAAAGAGAGTATCACATTAAATTTGTCAATTTTTTTTTTCATTTAATTATACGCCCGTACGAGTAATTACGTTACGTATATAGATGTGATTTTAGAATCTTTATAACTTTAATTAGAAAATTTAATACGTGGTAGATTAGAAATCTTGTTGCTCATGATGTGTTTCTTACGCATTAATTTTATATTTAAATAATTAATATATTTATATTTGAATAAATGGAATAGAAATCAATGTCTAGAAACAACTGTCAATTCATTTGTTGTTACATTTTATCACGATTAAATCATAATAACCTGTGATATAATTCGATTTTGATTACCGTAAACAAATGAAAGAAGAAAAATGAAAAAGACAAAAACAAGAGAACAACAGGAAAGACGACGCGTTTCTCATTGAAAAAGAATGATCTTTTCGACAAAAAACCGAACGGTGTTTGTAACGTTGTAAAGAAAAGACAAAAAAATAGAACAAGGAAAAAAACGAAGAAATTATATAAAAAAAAAAAAGAGAAAACAAAACAAAAAATAAATAGAAAAAAAATTAAGAAAGAAAAAAAATTAGAATTTCGCGGTGGAGACTCGGCAAACCAGTTCCGTTATAGCGAACGTCCACGTGCGGATTTTTTATCTTCGACTTCTCTCACCTTTTATTCATTTTGTTTTTTCTTCTCTTTTTTCGTTTTCTTTGAAGTCGAACCGAACTACGCTTCATGATTTTTATCGTTCGTCGTGGATTTAAAAAAAAACAAAAAAAAAAACAAAAAAATAAAAAAAAAACAAAAAGAAAAATATCTATGTATTTCCTGTCTTCTCCTTTTTTTTCGAGACTAGAGGGAAGAAATTATAAGAGGGATGAGAAGGGGGTGGTGGTTAATAGGAGAGACCGGGTTGATAAGCGGCTTGGTGTAAGAGGGGAGGCGGAGAAGGAACAGAGAGGAAGGAGACAGACTCATCTCAGGTAGCTTATGGAAGGACACTCGTGGTGGAATTTCCCTGGCTCCGTCGGAGTCTAGCTACGTTTTTAAATCGTCTTCCTCTTGGCCGACCTCCTCCCGCGCGGTCGGGTAAGCGCGCAAGAGGCCTTTCTTTTATTTTATTAAGTCTAGACGCGTAAATGCATTCGTGCCGGCACTGGCGTAGACTCTCTCTCTCTCTCTCTCTCTCTCTCTCTTTTGTATACAAGAAATCGGAACATTTCTAACTGGGATACGTTCTTGATCTAAGTTTTGTTCATCGAACGAGAAAAAGTTTAGCTGAGTTTAGAATTACGCGATCGTACAAAAAAAAAGTTTTTTTTTTTTATATAACGCGTTGATCATATTTAAGGATTAATTAAGTTCTTAATAAGTTTTACTAATTATTATTTTCGTGATATCTTTTTATGAAGAAGAGTGGTCAGCAGAGAGAGAAAGAGAGAGATAGATAGAGAGAGAGAGAGAGAGAGAGAGAGAGGAGAAAAAGAGAGAGAGAGAAGAAAGAGAGAGAGAGATAATTCAAATGACAAATGTCTCGACACGTGTATTAAAAGATATATAAATAAATATATATATATATATATATATATATATATATATTTACACTATATATATATGTGTATATATAAAGTGTATGTAATACTTAAAACATAAGATTTTAATCGAGTGGAAACACGATCATGATCAATGATCATCAGCTGTCAATGATTATTCAAAGAGAAAATGACAGAAAGAGAGGGAGAGATGATCCTAATAAAAGATACATGGATACAATGAACGAAGATTTCTCGAGCAAGAAAGAGAAAGAGAGAAAAAAGAGAAAGAAAGAGAGAAAGAGAGAGAGAGAGGGTGGGAGGGTAGGAGGGCGGGAGGACGCACGTCTCAGGCTGCGATTTATGCGTCTGTTCTTTTTCGCGACAGTCATAATAGTAATCGAGAACCGTCGTTTGCATACTTAAACGCAGTCTGGCCAGCCGAGTTGAGCACCCTCGTAATAACCGAGTGTCTAGTCGGACTGCAGTTAGGCTGTTCTCTTACGACGTTATGTAACACATTTCAATTTAATGCGCTGACCTTGTCTATGCGTCTCTCTTCCTACGTGAACGCAGACGGATCGACGGTACAAGATAGAAAGAAAGAGATGAGAGAGAGAAGAGAGAGAGAGAGAGAGAGAGAGTGAGAGAGTGAGAGAGTGAGAGAGAGAGAGAAAGAGAGAGAGAAAAGGATAGAGAAGGAAGTTTCGAGTGACTTCATCCCAACCCTCGTCAACGAGCGATGCATGTTGCATTTTTTTTCCTTTCTCCTTTCTTTCTTCCTTTTTCGATGCACCGATTATAACCTGTCCCGATATTCATCTCGTTCTCCTCATAATTTTTACCTGAGATTGTTCCTGTTTCTTAAAGTAGCTAAACCAGTGCGAGCTTCTATCTTGAAAGGTTTATTTTTTGTTTGTTTGTTTTTTCCTCTTTTTTTTTCTTTTATTTTTGGTTTGCCTTTTTTTGTTTTTTTTTTTTTTGTTTTTTTTTTGTTTTCATCCGCGAACTTGTCAATTCTTTTGTTTATCTCTTTTTTCTTCTTCTTTCTCTTTTTTTTTTTTCTTTTTATCTTTACCAACCGTAAGTATCCAATTCGAATTGGAAAGTTTCTGATTCATTATTTTATCTCCTGATCTAATAGAAAAAAAGAAAGAAAGAAAAATCTCCATAAAGAGAGTGAGAGAAAGAGAGAGAGAGAGAAAAAAAAAAAGAAAAAAAATTACGGTATCTTCGTAATCCTACCGGATCTGTTCTCATGTTCGACGACGGCCTCCAGACTGACTCTCCTCGCG